GACACTTTCTGTGTCCTTTATTCACTGTACGTCGTTTCACGAATGCTCAAGCTAATTTCGGCTTTGCTCGGCAACTGAGTTTACAGTGTTGTTGTAGATCTATTTTTCAAAACAGGAAGGCTTCACCCCTGCATATGTCTTTTTCGTTAGAAGTCACAAATGTAGATTGGCAATGTTTGTCCTTTTTTTATGTGCTTACGCATTTGCAGCAGGATCTTATGAAAACTGCGGCGCAGAAATTTGTGAGTCTTGTTGCGAATCGGAAGCGAAATGCGCACAGTATCTATTTACGCAAATTAACGGTTGTGTTTTAAATGTCTCTTTCAGCTCATTCAGTCACGCACCGACACTGCTCAGCCCCCAGTCATGTATTTTAGACCACGGATTTGAGTTTTGGGGACAAAATCGCGTGTCTCCCAGCGCCCTGCACTGCTGGCATGGAAGTCCAGTGGTCTTGGCTTTTATGATTATGAACATTTTTCATAGTAAATTAAAGCCAGTCAGGACCAACACCAGGCTGACGTGCTGTTTTAGTTTTGTAGGAATGTTTTCATGACAGAGGACTGCTCTCCTTCTCCCTGCTGAACACACACACACACACACACACACACACACACTCACACTAGTTTTCTAAAAGGAAGAGATTAACTTTTTTGCAGATTCTAATGTTGCATCAAGATCTCATGCAAAATATGTGTATCGTACTACACATGTGACTCAGGCGCGCAACTTGCGAATGAACGTCAGTTTCAATTTACCTGTAGATTCATGGTTCTGCAGTCAGATTTTGATCCATTTAATTAGTTCTCACACCTCGTGGGTCCGAGTTTTACATTAAAATCCTCATTTTGGGAATGAACCATTGTCCTATACTCTTCCACCGTGATGTGTTTGGTTGTTTTGGGTTAAAACTACCAGTTGTTTCACACTGAATGGAGAAATGCTTTGCGCAAAGCTCGAACTGAAACTGACTACAAACTCGTCAACATAAACCTGATTTCAGCATGCATGGCGCGCACTCTTACCTGCGAGCTGTCAACACATTCTTGTGTCGCCGCTGGGCCTACGCACACACTTTACACGAGGGGACTCGCATCCCTCCTGTTACCGGTGAGATTACGGTGCAGAAGTCATTTATTTTTGATGGTATTTTATGACATTAATATTGAACAGAGGCTGTGATTTCTGCCACCAAGTCATCCCTGTTTCTTACTTCTGTGGCCAGTGGCACGTCCTTAACTCAAAGCAAAGAAAAGTGACACGTGATAATTGTTAGATGGGAGAATCATAGAGTAGTGCACTTTAGAATTGTGTTATTCTGCAGAAACTAAACGGAAAATGCCAAACGCTGTATACACACACACACACACACACACACACACACACACACACACACACACACACAATGTATCCGCACTTATAAGGGCATATTCTGCTTGACTGCGATCCATTGGCTCAGTCATGTGCACATGAAGTCGGTTCCTGAGAGTGAAAGCCGCAGGTAGGCAGCGTTTGTGGAGGGATGGAGGTTTTCCCCTCCCCCACAAACATCCGCATCAGACAGGGCCTGTCTGGAGGGACATGTCTGGTTGTCAAGATATTTACAGCAACACATCATGGCTGCCTGTCAAAGATACTGATAGTTGTTTTTATAAACAGTATCTGAAACAAGAGAAACCCCGCTGTGGCGAATTCATATTTCACATGCAGATTGTTTTACGCCTTTTGACAAACTTTTTATTCAAATGGAGAAATATTAGAAATTTAAAAAAAATCCTTTTATTGTTGCTTTACACCAGAAGTTGTCCGCAGAATAATAACAGACTCCCGCCACGAGGCCTAAAACACTAATACGTAAAACTGACAACGTTTATTTTGTCAAAGTTTTAGTCTGTGAAAACAAACCGTTGTTTTAATGGCGCCCATAGTTAGCCATAGTTTTAGCATTTTGCCTACATTGCTAATTAATTTGGTTTAAGAATTGTATTAGCCCATTATTTGCCTAATATTTACTGTCACATGATTAATTTAAGATTTACAAATGTACATACACAGACAATATCAACCATGTCCATTTCTTTCCACATGAACTGAAACTTGTGGGTCGTATATGGGTAAGATATATTCAGTTAACAGGTTTAAATGTAGTAGGCTATATTGATTATTAATTAATTGATTTGCGAATATCCCATTGATTGGTATAGTATGAATGATCACATTAAGTAAATAGGCAGATAACAGTTGTGCAATGTGAAACTTGAATACGGATAAACTCGCAACAGCTAATTTCATCCTTTAATAATCCACCTGTCTACAACCTGCCCAACATCACTGAAAGATAATAACAAAGGTGAACTATTATTGCTTGACAACTTTTTGATTTTTCTTTTATTAGTTTTTTACAGGGCGTGGTACACAGGCTAAAGAACCGTCGCTGCATGCTTGTGGTTTTAAAGTGAGGAGCTGATGTCTTAGGACTTTGCGCCTTTTCCTGAAATATAGAAATGCAGGAGAAGCTTTACATTTTATTAATGATCTAATGGTGCATTTGCTTTCACCATAACTGTATAATACATTTCAGCAAAGGTTCTGGAGAGAAAATACTTTTATTTTGGAAGTGATACAATATTTAAGATGTATTTTTATTGTGCAATTTTTCTTTTCCCTGAATCATTCATTTTACGCCTCAGTTTTGGAGAAAATCAGTCAGGCCTAACGTGTGATTTAATATTAATGCAACATGAAATCTAACTTATTCAAATCTTCTTTATTTTCATTTAACAACTTCAGCTATTATCTCTGAATCTTCGCAGCTCATTTCTCTAACGCCTTATCACCCGTGTGTTCCAATTACGTGTAGTCTACATATATTTGAATATACTGTGGTATTTTAAACAAAATACAGCGAACTTATGAATCGCAAAATACAAAAACAATTGCCTCATCTCCTGATGTCTGAGCTTTAATGGAAAATTAGGTAGTTTGGAATGAGTCGGCGTCTTGTGGCGCAAAAGCTGTCAAATCCCTGATCCTTGAAATAAAACACAGGGGATTAGGCCTGTTTGGAGTCCTCTCCCTCTCTCCACACACACAGCAAATATTTTTGAGTAGGGGTCTCTAAATAACAGCTAGTTTGCATGCATACTTGAGTGTGAAGTTCATTCTTGTCTGTCTAGACTCTGATTACGACCCTGTTTGTCTGCGTTTTTTTTACCTTGACCTTGGACTTCCGTGCAGCTGCCATTTGGATGAGCCCTTCGTAGTTGTAATTTACTTGAGACAAAAGAACTATGGTCTCTGTCCGAAGGAAAGGACAAGGGGTCCGGCTTCCTTTGGTGCACAAATGCACGACGGTGGCCTGATAATTCCCAAGGCAGCTCAGCAGTGCAAAAATGTTGATAAACTAGGCACCCTTCGTAGGGCAGCTTGTAGCCTGCTTTATGAGTGACTCATTGGATAGGCATCACAGAAAGCCTGTGTTGGAGACACTTCGTGAGGCCTACCCCATCGGTGATATTTCAAACAAAAATACAGTTTTAAATATTCACACAGAATAGTATTTGTCTTAAAAAAAAGTTTTTCAGAGAAGAGGAATGGAGGATTTCCTCAGCAGCTGTGACTGAGGCCTAAATGAACTAAAACGCCGCTTTGGTTTGTTTTTTTTTAGCGTTTGAGTCAGTGTCCTGTCCTTCAAATTTGAAGGAGGACGCGAATAAATAGTGGAGCAAGAGTTCCTGAGGGGGAAAAGGTCTGCATTTCTACAATGGTGCATAATAAATAGCCGCAGCTCTGCAGCCTGTACACAGCGGACCCTTGTTCTTATTTTCGCCTGCAACCGTCAGCTTGCACTTACATAGTATGAATGGACAGCTCATGGTGAAACGTGACATCACATGGACTCGTTTAATGCTCAGTTGAATTGTTACATATCGCTTAAAAAAGGTTTTGGGCCTAACAGAGAATATTATGACGGAGCAAGTCTGCCCAAACATACTGCGGAAGGTGTGTGTGTTGTGTAAGAAATAAAGGAGGCAATCATTTATGGTTCTATCTTCAAATTTAACAAAGACTATGTGGTGAAATTTAACTTGCAAGGACGGTATCTTACCTGCAAATGTCTTTCAACCTCGTCCTGTGGCTGTTCTTACTCCAGCGACATTCAACTTGGCTTATACTAAAAGTCCCACTTCACACACACACACACACACACACACACACACACCCTATATCAAATGATCTTTTCTAACCTGACCAAATAGATCAAAAATCACATCCTGTCAAAAAGTTAGGCGATAATCCGCCACAATAAGGTCCCACAGTTATCAACTTTATTCTTATAATTATTATTATGTAAACTAATACTCCACATCCAGGTTTGATGAAAGAATCTCACCTCGGCGTGTTAATGTGAACCAGTGGAAGTTATATTCGGGTTTAAAGGAAATGCTTCTTTAAAGAAAATAGCAGTCATAATAAGATTGGACGGTTTGCATATACGCGTACTTGCTTTGGCAACTCTATATTCTCGTTATGCGGTGTTTCATAATATAAATTAATTTTACTACGGACCAGGGATTGTAGATTATTCACCTTATTGTTTAATATTACTTTTAATAATCAAACAAACCTTACACTAAACATATTGCTCCCAACAAGCAAGGCAGATACAAAGTATGCTCTCCAGACCCTTAGAAGCAAGTTTAGAAGATTTAAACTAGAGAATGTTTTTTTTAATTTTCCATGCACCAACTGTGTCATGTATCATATGCGATTATATTCTCTGCTAGTCTCGAGTCGGCTAAATTTCACAGGTTGTTTTCGTTTGAGAGTATCCCTTTAAGAGTGCGGGTCTGTGAGATTTAAGCCAATGATAAGACTCGATATTCTGCAGGAAAAGACGGTGACATGCGGAGGCGGTGGGTCTTTAAAGGGCTGCTCTACCCCAACTCACAAACCCAATCTCATAGGACTCGTTAGCGTATCACGTGCCAGATTCCTAATGAAGTGGACACACGAGGGCCCGGTGTGCGCATGCGCCCGGTGTAAAATGTAGTTGGAAATGAGGTGTCCGTCTTGGAGTAGTCGACTTTTAAAAAGCATCGGCAGCCCCTGATATGACGACTTCGCTGGTTCTGCATCCACGCTGGGCGGACACCTTGATGTACGTTTATGAAAAAAGCCCGAATGAAAACAGCCAGAATAAAAGCCAAACAATGGAGGGACTGAGCGGTAATTGCCCTGCGACCCACTGCAGGGACCTGATGTCGCACCCCGCGCTGGGACGACACTCTGGCACCATAGCGACCCACCAGGGCTCCGTCTACTCGGATATTTCCTCTCCGGACACCGGCCGGCAGTGTCCCGCTCCGCAGTCAAGCTCCAGCGCCTCTTTGAGCTACGGTTACCCCTTTGGAAACCCGTATTACGGCTGTAGATTGTCTCACTCGCACAACGTGAACTTGCAGCAGAAGCCTTGCTCGTATCACCCCGCTGAAAAATACGCCGAGCCCAGCACAGCGCTGCCCACGGAAGAACTGTCTAGCAGGGCGAAAGAGTTTGCCTTCTACCCGAGTTTCGCCAGCTCGTATCAGGCTGTTCCTGGATATCTCGACGTGTCGGTGGTGCCTAGTATCAGTGCCCACCCCGAACCGCGGCACGACGCCCTGATCCCCATGGAGGGCTACCAGCACTGGGCTCTCTCCAATGGCTGGGATGGGCAGGTGTACTGCTCCAAAGAGCAAACGCAGTCAAGCCATCTCTGGAAATCACCTTTCCCAGGTAAGGAAAAAAATCCCTTTTCTCTTTTTAAGGTGTCTCTAACCGGCTTAAATCCAGATGTTAGTCACGTAGGGTTTTGATAGCCACCGTGTGTCACCACGTTAATAAAACTATTTAAATGTAGTCATATAAGTTTATTTTCCTCAGATGTTTTTGCTTAGCAAGTGAATTGTATTGTGTTAAAGTGCCAGTTTCAACTTACCAAGAAGTCCAGGGAAACACCAAATGTGCTGAATAAACATACAACTGTCAGTCCCCATGCATACCACTTATCTAATGTCCTTTATGGACTGTTTGACTTCTCTGTGGCCTCTCATATTCTTCAGTTTAACTTTAAACAAATAATCAGCATGTTCTTAGAAGTGTGCGTAAAAATTAGGGAGAATCTAAAATTCAGGATCTGTGACATTTTAATGGTTAATCTAAGTTTTTAAAATGAGCTTTTTCTGTCGAAAGTTATTTGCAGTTTTTATTTATTCCTATGAGTCATATGTTGCGTTTGAGTCACGTAGAATAGAGAGGGACACCAGTGCAAACCTTTGCCCTCTGCATGACAGTATAGTAGGCTAGCTTACTGTTACTGTGCTGTGTACACAGTCTCTTACACACGTCCGGATTCATTTTCCAATTCATATACACATCTGCATCATATCACACAAATTTTGACACAACCACTTATCAATGCACTGCATATGCAGGATCCCCTTTCCTTTATTTACCATCACACAACATGCATGATATCTGATAATGGAGTGGGGCCCGTCCAGAATGCAGTTTACAGAGTGTTTACTAGATTGCGTCTCTTACCACAAGGGTTTATTATCTATTTGAAATCTCAAAGTATTTTAATTTCCGATATGGATGTTGTCAGACCCCGACTAAACTGCCCACACACGACCCCCCCGCCTTTACATTGAAAATACACAAGAGCAAGCCACGCAAGCACGGGCACGCAGTCAAATGCGCGCGCACACATGCGCAAAAACACGAGCGCGCAATGTCCATATTCCCTCTCTCGCCTCACTGACATACACACTGTGACGCGCAGAAGAAGACACAGAAGAGTTTGGCCTTAAAATAAAAAATAACAAAATTAATAGGGGGCACTCAGCTCCCCTGTGCGTCGTTCAGCACAACACAACAGTCTGTTATACACAACAACATCAGTGATACGATGAAGGGAATATTTGAATATCCACTGCCCTGATTCAAGAGACCATAATCTTATATGCAAATGATCTGTGGAGAAATATTCCCAAGCCCTGACTGTAAAATTACACGGGGGTAAAAAGCTTCTTGTCTCACAGCTTGCCACTATTTCTAAAGGTATTGCCTTACTTGTCCTGTCATGTTTCCCATTGGCTGTTCTGCACTCAGCTCCAGTCTTGGCAGAAGGGTGCAATCCCACAACTTTGCTTCCCCGAACATATAGCCTGAGCTGTTCACTGCCAAAAGTTTTTTGTGTGTGACTTTTATAACAATTTATAACTAAAAGGAGTGGAGAAAAATTAGCTCTAAATTCTAGGGGAAGTTCAGGAATATGTGTGAAATGGTGAAGTTTTATTTGAATCTGTCAAATTGATGATTATTCAAAGTTAAATCTTCTCTCTTGCAGTCAGTTTAGTTTCCTGGCTCTTATTTCTGTTTTCCAGGCGCTGGACAGAGTTACAGCCTCCACATTGAGACTTAGTGTATTTTATACTTGTATTTAACCCACGATCTAATTAAAGGTATCTGCCAGAGATGTATCTGAGATGCCATAAACAGGATTTGTTGTATAGTTTATCAGATATAGCAACCAGCAGATTAAATATTGACAAACAGGCTGAAGAATAAAAGAATCATCAGTGGCCATTGGAAACAATGTAGAGTTCTGCAGGGGCTGTAACCTGAAGCTGTTTGTTCATTTACAGAAAGAAACCACGTTCTCTCACCGTGCTGATATATTTTACTTTAATGCTCTCACACTTAGGTTTTCATTTCTGCGTTCATATGTCAGGTGCACTACACCTGAGATCCTGACTGCAGCAACAGCAACGTTCAGTGTGCCCCTGGATGCCCCATCCCCACCCAACCCCTGCACACACACATACACAAATACAATAATAACGCGGGTTCTACGTTGAAAATTATATTATTTTATTTTATGTCTAATTAGGTATATACGCCTAAACACCCTATAGCGAGTTCAACACGTTTAGACTTATCCCAGCTGCAGTGCCGCTTGTATCTTGACGTGTAACACTGCGATGATTTTTGCGCAAAAGCTTAATATCTATATTCCTTTTCTCTCGCAGATGTTGTTCCACTGCAGCCCGAGGTCAGCAGTTACCGTCGTGGGCGTAAAAAGCGGGTCCCATACACCAAGCTCCAGCTGAAGGAGCTGGAGAAGGAGTATGCAGCCAGCAAATTCATCACCAAAGACAAGAGAAGGCGCATCTCGGCCACCACCAACCTCTCAGAGCGCCAGGTCACCATCTGGTTCCAAAACCGGCGAGTCAAGGAGAAGAAATTTGTCAGTAAATCCAAGAGCAATCACATGCACACCACTTGATGAGGCCAGCGATGTCCCAACCGCAACTCATACCTTCCACAACACCATGTCATCTTTTTACCTCCTGCGTCGAAAAGTCGTGGCTGAAGAACATTTTTTGGCAGAGTGGGGTTGTTTTTTGTTGGTAATTTATCTTCCATCGTCTCCATCGACCACGCCACCAAGCTCCACAGCCCCTGTTTTCAACTTAGAGATGATGCTCTAAAAACTGTGAAAATATTGAAAATTTCACTTCACGTTTGTTTTATA